GAAGGTCAAAGAAGAAAAATTAAAGCTCTATTAAGAAAAGGTGGAAATGATGATAAAATATTTTAAGCAAATCACCTTCCAACATGCAACTAGGAAAAACAATCGGTTCGCCGACACCTTTGCAAACCTTGCTTCAATGGTCGACATCCCTTTAGAAGTCATCATGCTGCCATTTTACATCACGCACAAACATGAATCTTCCCCACCAAGGATCAAAAAAGAAATGAAGCCAGAAAATGAGAACGACGACAAAGTGTCTTTCGTGTCCTCAAACGCGCTAGTTAAGGCAAAATTATGGTTCCACGATGTGTTGTCCCCATTGAAAGATGGGTCATACCCTGACAGAGCCACCAAAAAGGATAAGGAAGCCCTTTGAAGGTTTTCTATGGGTTTCCTAATAGGAGACGATCTTCTGTTCAAGAAATCCTTTAATGGTGTCATCTTGTGGTGCCTTGATCAACCAGAAATTGACCAGGTATTAACAGAATTACACAATGAAGGAGGTCACTTCGAGCCAGCTAGCGCCAAGGCTATTATTGGACCACCAAGAAAACGGACAAGCAAAGGCCACAAACAAAGGACTTATTAAAATTATAGATAGAATGATAGAAGGTGGCAAAGATTGACATGAAAAGCTAAATGACGCACTATGGTCTTATTGCATAAACGAGAAGACTCATACTGACATGACCCCATACTCATTAGTGTATGGTATGGAGGCTGTGCTACCCATTGAAGTTGAGATACCATCTCTTTGAGTGCTCATTCATAATGATTTAGATGAGGAACAAACGATCAAAGCACAAGTCGTTGCCCTCGGCACTCTGGATGAAAGACAACTACAAACAACACAGAATATCTTAGCTTACCGTCGTAGAATCGAGCACGCATACCAAAGAAAAGTTGTTCCCCGACAATTCAAAGAAAGAGACATGGTGCTCAAGAAGATCTTGCACACTCCTGCGAATCCACACCCATTAGGAAAATTCAAACCTAATTGGGAGGGGCAATTTGTAGTAACACGAGTGCCTACAGGCAATTCCTATAAAATAAAAACTCATGAGGGGTATGAACTCAACGACCCTATTAATGCAATGTATCTCAGAAAATACTGCTTGTAATGGGCTTTAAAAAAATAAAATAAAAGAAAAGAAAATGAAGGACGTGGTGAAAACCTGAAAAATCATCAACAAAAAAAAAAAAATGACATGGCAAAAACCTTAAAAGGGCGTCACGAGTAAAAATAGATTCATGAAATAAAGTTTTCCAAAAAGGAGGCCCTGATCCAAAACCTCAAGTACAAACAGGTACTTGCAAGTCACAACAATACTGCATAAGCAGGGCCTGAGGATGGAGACTCCTCCTAATCCCTACAGCTTCCCAATATAACCTACCTCGGGAAGATATGGGAAGGTGACATGAATTAGAGACCCAAGACACTTCAATAAACCCCAAGACGAATGTCGAGACCTGTCCAATAAGGAAGCCCAGCAAGAACCCAAAAAACTCCTCATGGTTCTGTGAAACACATGATGAGCACTCCAAAGACCAAGCGAAACTTCAAGTCTCGTGAGCCCTCACGATCTCATAAGGAAATCCATTTCATTATCTTTAAATAAGTGAATAAAAAGGAAATAAAAAAAAAAGATCACCAAAGGGGCTACAAGTGGCAAAAACTGTAAGGCCCCTCCCTCTTTCAAAAATGCTTTCCAAAGTAATCTTTACTTTTCTAAAAAATAAATAATAAATAAATAAATCATGTTCAAAATTCATTTTCTAAAATTGAGAAAGGACTCCCTCCATCACTACAAGAGGTTAAATTGTTAGTCAATATGGCCTCAATATCGATGCCAACTTTCCATGCCTGTTATGATGACATGAAACTGGTCAGGCACTCCATGGTTGTATAAGTATAACTGCCAACTACCACATAGCGGAGATGGGTGAACCTTGCCAATGATGACATTGGCTAGTTTGGAAGCATTCTCTCGACTGGATCTCCTGAGGCAAACCCATCTCGTGTGTGTGTATGATGGTCAGCTAATCTAAATTTTGGGTCATAAACCCTATAACAAGCAGGACTAAGTTTGTTGAAACTCAGTCTGAAAAGTGCATACAAATAAAATGTCCCTCTCTTCCTTGATGAATCAATTGCACATGTAAAGTTTAACAAACAAAACACCCCATAACTGGGGCAATGGAGCAAGAAATTCCCCTGAAGCAAGGACAAAAGCTACATCAAAAATGAGCAAGAACTACCCCATATGAATATTTTACATCTAGGAGCATCTTGGTCATTTTTGACCAAATATAAGGAGCAGTAACATGAAAATATTGGCTCGAAATTAATCCTGAGCACCAAAAATAAAAACTTTCTTGCTCATAATGACTATGCTTAGATTCCAAAGGCTCCTAGAGACTGATACAACCACAGGTATGTATTTTCTCTCTAAAAAATACTGTTTAAAATTTAATTGGCTTTCCAACGTTTTCAGATACTCCTTAGTGGCACGGGCCTAAACTGGCAACCAATTTCAAAAGAAAAATATTTTATTCAAAAAAAAATATTGATCATTGGTGGCATGAGTCTAAACTGCCAACGAGATCTCAGTTCACAATGTCTAGCCCCGTAAAACGTAAAAGGTCGGGTGTATTCATCCAACCCTGTATGATTTTAAAGGTCGAGTGTATCCATTTCAAAATGCTCCTTGGTGGCACGAGTTTAAACTGCCAACCTTCAAATCAAATTCATTTTCATGTAAAAACGTCTAGCCCATATGATGTATAAGGTCAAGTGTATTCATAAAATGTCTAGCTCTGCATGACATAAAAGTTCAGGTGTATTCGTCTAATCTCGTATGATATTAAAGATCGGGTGTATTCAAAAAATGTCTAGCTCCGTATGACATAAAAGGTCGGATTTATCCGTCTAACCCCATACAACGTAAAAGGTCGAGTGTATCCATCTTACCCCTTATGACGTAAAGAGTTGGGTATATGTATCTATCACTGCATAATGTTAAACAGCTTAAAAGGCTCAATGGTTGCAAGAGCTAAAACTGTTAAGTAAAATTTATTTTTCAAAATATCTTTCCCCTTTTGAAATGTTCACTATATGTTTTGTGTTTTCAAAAACCTTAATTTTTTTGTAAAAATCGTAACATGTCCAAAGCTCTTGGTTCTATTTCAAAAGTCTCCTTATTTTCAAAATTTCTAAAACGTCTTTTAAAACAAATGAGCTTAGACACCCGTATATGATGATTACTGCTTTGCCTCCTCATCTCTCTCTTCAGAATTAACTAGGAAAACATTTTCCTAAATAAATAAAACATATACAAAACCTTTAGAAACCCTAAGAAAATTAAAGAAAATGTCAGGTTCAATAATTTAAAAGTAAAAACCTCTGAAGTTAAGTAACATTGGCAGAAAATCTAACTCGAGTTTCAGGCTTGTGTAAATCAGCCCTCTAAAGTTCTCAAATTTCTCACTTTCCAGAGGGTCCAGAGCTTCATCCCCAATGATGCAAAAGGAGGATTCCATATATTTTCAAGCAAAATGTGGACATCCTGAGACCACGAACCATGCCAGTTAACCAAGCGCGCAAGCCAGTCCCATAATTCTGCCAAATATTTGCAATTGAGGAATAGATGATCAGTCGTCCCTTCATCCTCTTTGCAGAACAGGCAAACATTGGTGATAATCATGCTTCTCCTCCGAAGTTGGTCCACAGTAAGCCGTCTCCTATAGGCAAGGAGCCAAAGGAAGGATTTGACTGGGAGAGACACCTTAAACTTCCAGATGTCAAAATTGATGGTTTAGGAAGTATCACAAAGTTCGAGTAATTTTTTTTTTGTATGAACTTTGAGTCTAGCCAAAGACAAACTTACAACGACCCAATTTTAAATGTGGCAGACAAGAGTGATTGCGACTTCCTTTTACTAGAAGTGAATAGTCTCTTTGTATACTTTTCCTTAATCTAGAGTTCAAGTAAAATTATACAAGACACTCATGAAGTTTGAGTCACAAAGAGAGTGAGACCCACTATATAAGTTCATGAATGATACAATTATTCAGTATCATTAGCTTGACATTTTTCTTATTCTATTCTAAAACTAATAGAACGATTAATGTCGACTTATAGAGTATTAATATTCCATTTATTTATTGTACGGTATGGATAATTGTAACGAACTTCTTTTTATAATGAACACAAGACATTGTCATAATGGCTACCCCAGGTCTCCCCTTGAAGATATTAGAAATAAGGGACACTTATAGATATCCCTTTGACTTATTTTTCTAGACATGCCATCCTAAATATTTTGTAAATCACACACCTAACCTTAAAAAATTTTATTTTATTGCTACTCCCCAAGTCATAAGTAAGTAGGGTCTTTTAAGATAAAAATCCCCCCATTTTAATTCACATTTCATGCCCAACACATGTCGGATTGGCTTTTATCTTCAAATGTGTCAATTTGGCACAAAATGTGCCAGGCTTCTGACAAAATGTGCAGGCTGGTTTCTAATATTAAAATTGTGCTGGTCCAAGTCGACTTTTGCATTCACATTTTGGCAGGCTGGTCTCCAATATTAAAATTGTGCTGGTCCAAATCGACTTTTGTATTCACATTTTACTGATCCGGCACAAAAGCGGATCGGATTAGAGAGAGTAGAAGCGTGAAAATTGGGTTAAAATTGGAGTGTTTCAGTAAAAAAAACAGTAGAAACGTTTTTGTATGGAAGACTAAACTGTGTTGGTGTTGGGGTTAATAATATGACATAAGTATTGAGGGAGATGCTTAAAAAGTATAATTTGGTGGGTTTCCAGAATTTTCCCCATAAATAAATCCCACTATTATGGCCATCCTCGCATGCATTTTAAGGAAAGAATCAGGAGGTAACCATGAAAGAATTGAACTTCAAGGCATGGCTCCAAAAGTTGCATTGATAGCTATGAGATTCTCCACACTTAAAAGAAGTATCACTAGTCAGTTAGATTTTGGCAGCAAATTCTGCATTTCATAAATTTATTGATTATCACTTATTTTAACATAAATTTTCACTAGGATATATCAAACGTCTCCACATAACCCGCACAGCTTGAATCATAGCCAGTAGTGATGAATGCATAGAAATTACAACGCACTCAGACAACATAAAGTACAATAGGCTCAATATACATGGAGCACGATTTTGATGCAGCCATAATGAGTGGGTTGGTAAACTCAAGCCACCAACTCCAAGTGCATGCATCTAGTCAATTCGCTTCAGGGCATAGTTTGCCATCCCCTCAAGCGAAGATCTGAGCATGCTTTGAGGGAGGCACCAGAGGCTTTGGATTGCAAGATCAGCTTTCTCCCTTGCCAGCTCTTGTGCTCTCTCTATTCCCCCACATTCAATAATCAATTGAACAGCAGACTCCAAAGAACCCACTTCTGTGAATTCGCTGTCAATTATGTCCCTAAGCTTAGGTTCTTTGTTCAGGGCAAAGAGAACAGGAGCAGTCAGATTACCCTTTGCCAAGTCACTACCGGCTGGCTTGCCCAGCTGTTTCGTTGATTGTGTGAGGTCAAGTATGTCGTCAACCACCTGGAAAGATAAGCCAAGGTTCTTTCCGTAATTGTACATCTGATCACATATGCTTTCACTAACTCCACTGAATATGGCAGCTGCTTTTGTGCTAGCTGCTATCAAGGAAGCAGTCTTATAGTAACTCTTCAACAAGTAGTCCTCCACTGTACAGTCACAGTTGAAAAGGCTAGATGCTTGCTTGATTTCACCACTGGCGAAGTCTTTGATCACCTATGAAGCAAGTACTTCAGAAAGAAATTCAAATGAAAGAGCATATTATCTGGAATAAAACTATACTGGTGATATTAAATAATGTTAAGAAGCATAAAGAATTAAACCAAAACACGAAGACATTGTCAGATATTGTAATGCATACTTGACTGATCAGCTTCATGACTTCTATGTTTTCTAAATTTGCAAGGCACCACGATGACTGAGCAAACATAAAGTCTCCTGCTAGCACAGCAACTCTAGTACCATACAATTGGTGAACTGTTTCTTTCCCTGCAATAGAATGAGGAAGTCCTTTTAGCATCAAATGAGAAGTTAGGATTTCATGTGACCCATGACAAAAACAAGTCAAGAATCAAAACAAGAGCAAGAAATGAAATCAGGAAAGCAAATTAGTAAGTAACACCTACTACAGAAGATACCTGTTCTTCTGATTAATTTAGGAAACTGAGTACAATTCCTAAAATCTGAACAAAATAAAATGATTACCTATTTAAATCCCTAAATCAGAAATGCTAATCCTATGAAGATATAGTTTTTAAGAGTAATTAACAGTATTGAGTTTAAGTAACAAGGATTTACATAATTCTGTCCCCTATACAGTGGCAATCTGCACAGAAGGAAACAAATATACCGGTCGTTTTTTTTTAGAATGTTCACATTTGTATTAATAAAAAGAGATTACAGTGTAGATGAGATTACAGTGTAGATCATGTGCATATAAACATACATACAAATTTGAGCATACCTGCTTGGCAGGTGCCATTTACAATACCCAACAGGAACCAAAAAAAAAAACTCATAAAAGCTCAATAGTGAGACGGATTAGAAGGGAGGAAAAAAACTTCTAAAGTCTAAACATCGAGAGAAATGTTGAGGCGAGCACCAACCCAAGCTAAAGTGTCAGCAGCAGCATTTGCTTCCCTGAAAACGTGTTTCCAGGTAATTCTAAGGGAGCCACAGATGACATCTAATTCATCAAAAATGGGCCCAACAAATATGCCTGGCGTTGATGCCCTAGCTGAGCTCAAGGAAAAAAAGGGGGCTGAAGAACCTCACAAAGAGTTGCTGGACAGTTTGCGGGGTCAACCACACCCAACTGAAGCACTGTAGAGTGGAGGAACACACATGCCATGAGGAGCAATGCAGAAGTAAACAGTCAAAATTTTTCCCACCCTCCTAATGCAATACAAACCAGATAGGCAGGGAAAACCTTGCTCTGAAGATGATATAAAAGAGATCTCTCCTTGAAAGAACCAGTCAATTAAAGTCCTGGTTTTTCAGGGGTGCCAGGGAAAAACCACTTTCTTGAAGCAATGTGCCAGGGAAAAACCACATTCTTGAGCCAACCAGCCAAACCCTGGTTGGCTCGAGAGAGAGCCAAGTAAAAGGAGGTCATGGAGAGGCCAGGACCCTAACCATGCTATCAGTCCCTGTACACAATGTACTCTGCCTTAAGCAAATCCAGCAAGGACGCAAACTCAAGAATCTACAAATCTGAGAGATTCCTCCTGAGACTAGGATTCCAGACTAGCTGTCCCCTAATTTCTTCACATGATTGGGTAACCAAGAGGTCTGGGAACATAGCAAGGGAAAATAATATAGGGAATCAAGACACAACAGTAAACTCCCCAAGCCAGAGGTCTTTCCACAACCAATCCTTGCCCCTGAATTGACCGTGAAGCAGATGTTGGAGAAATACTCAATGGGACAAAACAATCCCTTTCCAAGCCCTTAAGACGAGGCATTAGCATATTCCCTGGGAAGCCACCCGGAACCATCCACCATGTAACGCTATTGTACTACCAACAGCCACAAATGAGCTCCTGGATGGCGAACCGCTGCCACCACTTTCTTAGGAGTGTTACAAGCCCATGGGCTTCATTACCTAGCCCCCCATTTCTTTCAATTTACATACCGTGTTCCACTTAACTAAAAGAAACTCTTTTTGTCGCTCTGCACCAGACCACAGAAAGCATCCCATTAACTCCTCAAGACGATTGACCACTCCAAGGGCAATCTAAAGCAAGTCATCTAGGAGACGGGGATGTTGGGCAAGGTTGCTTTGATTTAGGAATCATGAAACCTAAGGATAGGAACCTACATTTCCAAGCAGCAAGTCAGCGTCACTTCAAACACTAAACTACCGTGTCCCATGGAGCCTTGTGGCACTTTCCAACACAGAGTAGGAGGCCCAAGTACTTGCTAGGTAAGGAGTGTATTCCACACCATGGCCTCTTGGTCAATTCCAAAATAGTTTCTGGCTCACACAGACCCCACAGAGTCAGAACATCAAAGCAACTAAGGAATGACCATAGGTTTTCGACTTAACATGAGCATATTCGCAAAAGACTAGGGTGTTGCCTGCATATTTTAGATGGGAGATGCACAAATCCTACAGGAGAATCTAAAGCCATGGAGAAGAGTGTTGCTGAAAAGGTTTGAGATATATTTGCTGAATATCACTGCCACGATGGAAAATAAGAAATGGGAGAAAAAGTCTCATTGGCAAAGGCCTCTTGAAGAGGGGAAGAAAAATTTTGGAGATCCATTGACAAGGACCGAAGACCACGTGGACGAGATGCAACCCCTGATACAGGTCCTCCATCGATTACTAATGTCAATCATAACACCACTTTGTCAAGAATGTCCCAATCAACATGGTCGTACACCTTTCGCCCAAGTTTCAAAACAAGACTAGAAGTCATTGATTGGTGTCTGTTATGGATGCATTCATGAGCAACTACTGCATCATCCAAAATTTGAGGGCCATTGACAAAGGCACCTTGCATGGGGCAAATAAAAGTGTTAAGCACATGCTAAGGCGAGAAGCGAGCACTTCATAGAAAATTTTGTAAGAACTTTTTGGCAAACTGATAAGCCTTGAGTCTTTCAGTTCATTGTCGCCATCCCACATAAGAGTGGTCGGTGAGTCAACCACAGCGGGTCTGGGTTCATGTTTTGGACCCAATAGGTCAGGTCCAGGTCCAAATGTCTTGGACTCAATATGGGTCAGGTCCGAGTCCAACATGGAGATTATCAAGTTGGGTCGGTTCCAGGTTAGGTCCCAACCCAGTATAAAATATATGACATATACAATATATATATATATATAAAATCATCATTACCATCATAGCCTTTTCCTAATTAATTGGGGACGGCTACACAAATCTCCGTCCGTCATTCTTTTCTATTTAAGGCCATACCCTCAATGAGGCGATAAGTCTCCATATCTTTTCGGGCTACTTCCAACCACATCCTTTTGGCCTACCCCTTACCCTTTTCAATCTTTCTACTTGAACTAAATCACACCTCTTAACAAGTGTTATACTAGGTCAATGCCACACATGACCAGCCCACCTAAGTCTACTCTCTCTCATCTTATCACCTATTGGTGCCACACCTAAACTTTCC